GGCTACACGGCGACCATCGGCGGCAGCCACTACATGCTCTTCGGCGTGAACGCCGCCACGGGCTGGATGGTCTGCTATGCGATGCGGCGGAAGTCGGAGGCGCTGGCGGTTTTCAAGCGCATGGTCGTGGGCGCCGCTCACAAGGCCGGCATCGCGAAAAAGTGCATCCGCTGCGAATGCGACGCGCTCTGGACCAGCGGTAGCTTCAAGGAGTTCTGCGCCGGCATGGGGATCGCGCTCGAGTACTCCCCTCCCGGCGTGCAGCAGTACAACGGCGTCGTCGAGAGCGCCATCCAGTGGTGCCTGAAGGTGGCCAAGGTTTCTCGGCGGGCTGCCCAAGAGCTCCTTGGCCCTGCCGGATTTTCACGCATCCGCGGGCTGAGCGTACGGGGCGATGAGCTCTGGGCGGAGTCCGCAAAAGACGCCGCGCAGAAGCTGAACCAATCTTCATCTCCATCCAACCCAGGGGGTGCGTCGCCGCAGGAGCTCTACACCGGCAAGAAAGGACCTTTTCGCTTGATTCCGTTTTTCCAGTACGGTTTCATGCGGGAACGGCCGGTGACCAAGATGAACGACAGGGCCGTGCCGTGTTTTTTCCTCAATGCTGGAGGCAACCACGCCCACAACACGGTCAAGGTGCTGAAGGAGAGGACCGCCCACGTCTGCTACTCGTCTAATGTGGCGTGTGCGTGTGTGGCGCTCCCGCCGTCGGGGGGGGGGAAGGGGGGGGGCGCAATGCTTCATCAACCCCCTCTGCGGGGACTCTGCCCACGCCCCAGCACCTACCCTTCGAGATCGCCGCTCCAACGCCGCCCGCCGCCGTTGCTGCTGCTGCAGGGTCGTCGTCGTCAACGCCGCCTCCGGGGCCAGCGTCGTGGCCCGCGCCTTCGCCTGGTGCCGCCGCTTCGCCGCTCCCGAGGCCGCCCGCGTCGTCGTCATCCGCCGCTCCACCGCCGCCCGCCGCCGCTGCTGCCGCCGCCGGATCGTTGCCGTCGCCGCCACTGTCACCGCCGTCGCAGCTGCCGGAATGGTCGTCTTCATCCATCTAGGCGGAGCCATCACCGTCGGGACGCGCACCGCCACCGCGCCAAAGCAAGAACACCAGACCGCCACCGACCGCACCGGGGTACACCACGTCCTTAACAGCCCACGCCTCAAGACAGCTAGGCGAGGGCGGAGACCTTCGGCTGCAAGGATGCACGAGGCAAAGGCCCGCGCCATCGCTCGGCAATAGCTCTCACCCCTACCGGATGAGCCGTCACTACGCCTCTCCCTCCTTCCGAGATCACGATGGGACTGCTGTCTCCAGCCAATGAAGACGTGCTCCTCTCCTTACTGGATGCTCGGCGAGCGATGAACGGCAAACCAATGCTCCGGCCAGGATTGGAGGAGGGCGGCGAGAAGGGGGGGGGAGGCGAGCAGCTCGCTTGGAGTGGGGACGTGGGGGAAAGCAATGGCAGCCTACCGCACGTGGACACCGGTAAGGAGGAGCTCGTAGGGAGTGGTTGGTCGGTCGATCCCTCTAAGCGGGGCGTTCCGCTTGGGCTCGTGGCGCGTCTTGCGACGTGCGACGACCTCGAGTCAATCCGCGAGATGGAGCCACCTCTCCTGCGCCCGGACATGCCCCGCTGCCATGCCAAGGACCTCCGAGTACCCCAGACATTCAGGGAGGCGAAGGACAGCGATCACAGCGAGCAGTTCATGGACGCGGCCAAGCGGGAGGTGTTTAGGCTGCTTGAGGCCGAGGCTTTCAAGCTTTTCGGACCGTAGCAGCGAATTGACAATTGCATCAAGTCGAAGTTTGTTTTTGATTGGAAGGTAGATGCATTCGGCTTTCCTACGAAGGCCAAGGCTAGACTTGTTGCAAGAGGAGATATGCAGAAGGAGTACATCGACTTTGGTGATTTGTATGCCCCTACTGTAGCTTCGTCGAATGTTCGCTTGTTGGCAGCTTTGGCATGTGAGCTTGACTTGGAGTTGTGTCATTTCGATATCGATCAGGCAATTGTGAGGCCCCTCTCAAGGAAGACATTTTCATGCGATTGCCGGAAGGGTGTGGTGCGTTGTCGGGGAAGATTGTCAAGTTGAACAAGAGTCTTTATGGCTTGAGGCAGGCATCTAGGGAGTGATACGCGTTGCTGAAGAAGTGTCTTTTGGCTTTGAGGTTCGAGCAGTGCATGGCTGATTCGTGTGTTTTTCGTCTAGTCGAGAGGCGGGGGTAGTTTTGATTCTATAAGTACACGTAGACGATATTTTTGCAGTGGGGAAGAAGGAAAGGTGTGATCAGTTTGGGAAGGACCTGGGCGAGTACGTGCCGGTGAAGTCTCTGGGGGAGTTGAAGTGGTACTCTGGTTGCTGTTACGAGAGGGAGAGGGAGGCAGGCAGGTTGACGATTTCGCAGCAGACATACACCGAAGAGTTGGGAGAACGATTTGGTGTCGAGTGGGGGGGGAGCATTCCCTTGCCTACTACCTGGAGACTTTGGGACTTTGACGTGAACGAGCCGAACGTACAACACCCGTTTCGTGCGCTGATTGGTTCGTTGCTCTGGATTGCCTGGTTGAATAGGCCAGATATCGCGAATGCGGTGAGGGCAGTGGCGAGGTACTGTGGTGCACCCAACTTGATCCACTGGAAGGCTGCAATTAGCATCCTAGGATATGCAGTGAGGACTACTTCTTTCGGGATTTCTTTGCAGAGGGCGACAGTTTCGGGATTTTCTTTGATCACGTTCGCCAACGCACACTACGCCTCGCGTGCGGCGGACCGCAGGTCGGTTTCAGGGGGAGTAGTGATGTGTGCAGGAGGAGCGATCGCATGGTTTTCCAAGACTCAGAAGTGTGTGACCTTGCTACTACGCAGGCAGAGTACGTTGCAATGGCGGACATGGGAAAGGAGATTCTGTTTTTAAGGCAGGTTTGGCGTTTCATGTTGCCGAAGGAGTTGCGGCCGTGCATTCCCATGAATGAGGATAACGAGGGTGCTATCCAGATCGAAAAACACCCGATCTCGAATTCCAACTCGACGCACATCGATGTGCGGCACCACTTCCTCAGGCAGCTCGTAGATGAGAAGGAAGTAGAGGTCATCCATGTAGCGTCGCAATATTAGCATGCTGACTTCCTTACGAAGGTCCTATCTGAGAGAGTTTGTGTTCCACAGGGACTACGTGATGAATTTGAAGTAGCATGAGATGGAGGGACTGTCGAACGCTAAATTTTGTTTCCAGGTACAGTATATGGAACGGGAATGGGTGTGTAGTTGTGATAGCAATTAAAGTGTCCGGGTATGATCTTGCCAATGCAGCGAGTAGGGGGGTTGTTGGATGTACTCAGCATCGACAGATTATTTTACGCAAGAATTTTTCCAAGCAGACGGAGCGGGGAGCTTGGGGGTTCAACAGTTGCAATGAATTGGATTTGATGGTACCAACTTTGCCGCATATTACAAGATTTAGGGTATGGGTATCTACAACCGATGTGATGATGTGGGTTGTGGTTCAGTCCCTTTTCTTTCCTCCTTTCCTATATAATCAAATTTCCCCGGCTTTCACGCCACTCGGCTATCACGCCACCCGGCTTCCACGCCATCCGGCTTCCACGCCACCCGGCTTCCACGTCCTTGTCAATATCTTTATATCAAGGCTTCCACACCACCCGGCTTTCACGCCACCACCAGGGTTATCACATCCATCCGAGCTACCACGCTTCACAACAAAATAGGAACTGGCTGCCACGCCAGCGGATAATCTTCTGTATTTTCACCGTTCAGTGGCTGCCCAGCTGCTGGCTCTTTTATTTCCCTTCACGGGACCCCGCGCCGAGGCACCAAGCCACTCAACAACCGGCAACACAGCATAACTCCCGTCCAAGATCGACGAATGCTTCATGTCTACTCCTGTACAGCCGTACCAAAAGCATTACATGCACACATCGTGCAGGCCGCAGCAGGCAGCCAAGCATACAGGCAAAGACCGTTGGCGTGTTTCTCACCATCACCACAAAGATAAAGGTCAGGATTCCTCCCAGGCTGCTCGCGGAACTGCCGACCATGGCTCATGCATGCATGCGGTGGTATACGATGGTTGATCCGATACGCTTCTCACGGTCTGCCACACTGGACGGCAGCAGTCGACTCAACATGCGGGGCCCCTGACAGGCAACTGACTGCTGCCGTGTGCAGCTGCTGCGTGGCCACACTTGGGGTCCAAGGACAACTCACGCTTTCTAGTGAGCAAACGGACCCTTAAACCCTTTATGCCAGCTAGTGAGAGCGACGGCAGAGGGAGCGGAGAGTGGCGTTCATCCAGGCCGGTGCTGCTGCGGAGAGTGGGCTGGGACACATGATACGATGTCCGTGTATGCACATACCTGCCCCGGTTTTCATCCACGGACTCCCTTTATGGCTGACGGCAACGGCCGCTAGATCCACCACCTGTGCTCTGTTCAAATGCTCCAAGCTCCGAGCTACAGCAGCGCAGGGTGCATAGGCTGTGGTTTACAGAAGCACGAAACCCCAATTGTTTCCTGACTAACAACAGTGTTGGTGTTTCCTTTGCTGACGAAAACACAACAGACGGCAAAAGTGCTGCAATTCTAATATCAAGACAAGATGGAAATTGTCCCGCCGCCTTTTCGATTTGGGGCGGTCGAGGCCGACGTGTTCCGATCCGCGCAGCCGACCCTCAAGAATTATCGGTTCCTCTCCAGGTGAGATATGCCCTAATTTTGCATCTGATCGTTGTGTGTGCATCACTATCTGTTGTACGCCTTCTCTGCTGCTGCTGTATCACACCGGCACAGCAGTAGAGGCGGCCCATGTACGTGTTTGTTGTTGTGCAGCAGACTACGGCGTGGTTCTACATGCAGTCTGCAGATATTCCCGTGCGCGTGCACATGTAGGCGCATCATGGGGTCTGTGACTTGTGATATTTAGGACTACAGCAATCTACACCATCATACTGCATGAAATGCCTGTACGTATCCATATGCAGCACCGCTACTATTGGGCTGCACCCAAAGAGGAAGTGTAATTTTGTATTTTTGGAAACACAATCGCCATGATCCCTCGAACCCTTTGGGAGGAGGGACATTGTGTTGCTTCTGTTTCTCTGTACGGCTGTGGCGCGCTAGAACATGATGAGAACGCACAATTGAGCAGCGACGATGGCACTCTGTAGCGAACACGCGCTAATAGCTCCTGTTGTTCGTGCGTCATGAGTCATATCTCGGTTCTATTCTCGTGTCCAATTCAACGAAGAACCAATCAGCTTGTTCGTTCGCGCTGACTCCGTACACAGCTCGTTCACAAGCCCTCGTTGCCGACTAGAGCCGTAGACTAGCCTATGGAAGCGCCGACAGACCAGCTCTCCGAAACATTCCTTTACTCATGTAGAGAGTCGAACAGCGCAGAAGCTTTTGCCCCATGCGCGACTGCTGTTTTCCGTATCATGGTAACGTAACATGGTAAATAGCTTCTCGCTTTCGGTGGCTCGTGTGCCGATCCGCCCCCCCACCATGGAAGGTTGGCACATGACACACGGAAGGAGTCTCGCCACGCTTGAAGAACCGGGCCATTGCTACAAAGAGGTAACACATCAGTGCAATACCCAAGTGGCAAGACAAAATTCCAAACAACTGCGGTGGATGTTTGCGCTATTCCCGACCACATCACGCGGGACCGTTTCATCCACATCCTGCCCTCCCCCCCCCCTGGGATAGGTTGAAGCTTCGCACGGTGGTGTCGATAGCGCCGGAGGGACCGATGGAAGACGAGGCCATGTTTTGCAGGGAACACTCGGCGCAACTAGTGCCGGTCCGCGCAGAGTTGTACCGTGAAGAGGCGGTGACGGTGTCGTGTCAGCAGGTGGCGCAGGTATTGACTGATTGGCTGACAACAAGTGTGCGTATTCGCAATAAGGAAGGGGGGTGGGGGTTTTGCCACGTGGTCACGTTGCTGTCGCTGTCGGTGATGCCGTGCAGTGAACCAAACCGTGCGCTTTACGGCGTGCGTCAATGTTCCTTTCCCAGCTGGAAGCCTGCATATCTAGGCGAAAATCCCCAGAACAAGCGTTAGCATTTGTCGAATACAGTGAGCTTGTTTCATCATCCGAGAGCTTGTTTCATCATTCGTGTCCTCCCCCAGTTTTTGATTATGGGGAGTTCCCGTACGCGTCGCCGTTGTCTGAGATGTTTTGGTGTGTCCCCCGCGTGTTCGCACGTAAACGAGAAACCATCAGTTCTCGCTCCGGTAACGTAGGAGCAATGCTCCGTCCGTCCCCTCAAGGACGCGCGGTCAGTGGTCTAACCGCTAAGACATGCAATTCATGAGTACGTCCCGTCCCCCCCCATCTCTCGAAAAACCTGTGCCAAGGTTCTGTCCATTCTTGCCGACAAGGACAGGCTGCCGGCCCTGGTCCACTGCCCCGACGGTCGCGTCCTGAGCGGGGCCGTGCTGTGGTGCCTGAGGCGGCTGCAGTGCTGGGACGATCGGGCTTCCGCCGCGGAGTTCGCCCGGTTCTCCGGTGTCCTGCCCTCGAGAGAGGTGCGGTCAAGCTTGGCTTAGATTTGTTGTTGTTGTTGTTGTTGTTGTTGGTGTTGGTGGTGGCGGTGATGATGGTGATGATGCGGTTGTTGTCGTAGTTGGTGGTTGCTGTTGTTGTTGTTGTTGTTGTTGTTGTTGTTGTTGTTGTTGTCACGATCGAAGTAGTCAAGAGTGGTTCGTACATATCCCGTGGTACGATATCCGCCTCATCGTGTTCTTGCCAGCCGTCGTCATTTCATCCGCACCAACCCCTCCCGTGGGGGCGAACAACAGATAGTCTAGGTGGACGTTTACTTCGAGCGCTCCTCGTACCCTTGCCGGCCTCGGCTCGCACCTTCCAGGTAGAAAAGTTCGTGGAGAGCTACGGGGAAGAGGTCACCATTCCGGCGAACGTTCCCAGGTGGCTGTGGGGGGGGGACAGGGCGCACTGGCATCCGTGCATTCGGATCCGGTGAGAGTGAGGCAGGAAGACGCCGCGAGGAACAACAGATAGTGATGCTGGCGCGGCAGCGTAGATCGTGGGTCGTATGAGAGAACGTTCCCTGGAGGGGGAAACGGAACACGGTTTTGGTTGGGCTGCACCCCTATGCTGCTGCTGCTGCTGCTGGTTTTTGGGACAGGCGCAAAACACCAGCTACCAATGATGCATTTGTCGATACTGCCACGGGCAGTCCCCTTTTTTGTTGTTCCCCACCACCGCCGTGTCGAAATGCTGCTTTTGTTGCGCCCGGCCATGAAGTACACGTCCCGAGAGACCGGCGACAGAGCTTGCTTTATCGCGGTCGATTTTAAAAAATCTGGTCCAAACACCGGAGGCGCATAACCTGTGATTGTAAGAACGCCTCCAAGCGAAAAGAACCAATTCGGACCAGACCTTTGGAGCACCCTATGCGTAGGGGGAACAACAATCTCTGGCTCTCCTTGGTGGCGTAACATCCGACCTACTTCTGGTTCTGCCTTCGCGCGGCATCCTCATGTGACCGTGTGGGCATGGCGTCCGATTCTTTCATGGTCGGGTCAGGCACCAGCCGCCGCTGGAAGTGTTCGAGCCGGACCCTCTCCCTTCCCAACAGACACTCAGGTGGGTGATTGTCGGCTCTGTGCAGAAAAAAAAAAACTGCAGGCCGGTCGGGGGTGGTCGTTATGGTATGTGGCTCGATCATGGTGAGAAGGAAGACATGTAACCACCTTCGTGTTCATAACTTTTGCTGGTGGCGTTGGAAGTATGCCGTCGCTTCCGCTGCTATTGTTTCTTGCTGTTGATGGCCGGCGATCGTCTCTTACGACGTCTCGTCTTAACATCCTTCCTTCGGGAGGCTCGGCGCGACGCGGCGGCTCCGAAAGCCAAGCAGGTGGGAGGCCGTAGGCCACGACTTGAGTTGACGACACAACGACACCTCCTGGACTAACCTCAAGCGCGCACTTCACGAACAAGCAGGGGCGAGGTCTACACGAGGACGGATTATCTTCGAGTGCGGCGGGACTACATGAACATGTACGCAAAAAATAAGATCCCCGAGGGGGCGGGGGGGCGGCGAGGGGGCGGGAGCGTTGGCGCCAGGGGACAGGGGACGGACTCCGCCTCGAGGTGCGTTGTCCATGCCCTGTCCGGTCGGCGCGTGGAGAATAGCAATTGATGCTTGCATGGCTTCGCGTCTCGATACTATGCACCGATGGAACAGCAAACACGTAGGGTCGGAACAAATGGTACTTGGGAAGCAGGAGTACAAAGTTGGCGCGAGGGTGAAGGCCTGTTCTTTGAACCACTCGGCGCCGCTTTCTGGTGCTTAGCCCTGCTGCGCACACACTGGCTGATTTTTTTGGTTGTACGGTTTCCGTTTTTGGTGCCCATAGTCTGCCGCTTTGCCTCGTTGGCTGCCGCGTCACCCCCCGCCGGCGTTCCGCCGCATCTGGTTTCGCCAAGCCTCGATTTTCACGTCTACAGCTGTTCGTGTTGAGTTCTGCCCGTTTTATCCCCAAGGCTTCCGAGACGGCTCTCCTATCTGGGTGTTGATGTAAACGTTGCAGCAGGCCTTTGAAGGGGGACGACGCAATCTGTAACGGGGAGGGGGGGTGCTTCCCGGGTGAACGTGCCCAGCACCGTCTTCTCGGGGGATCTGCTGCATACCTAGAATACCTCAGCAGTGGGCCCTCCTCTTGGGGATTAGTTTGTCTGCAAATTTTCAATCGCCGTTCCTACTTGCTAACTAACAAGATCGTGGTGTTTCTTCAGGGCAGAGTTTCGCCGTCACACGCGTGTTTGTGCCTCCCTCCGGCCTTGGCGCACTCCTTGGCCCTGCCTCCTGGCGTTTCCACGACGAGAGACTCCTCCTCCCGTACCGACTTGGCTGTCTGCTCGCCTGTCGGCGTTGTTGCCCGTCCCTCCCTGTTTGTCGCGCTCGTGTTTTCCGTGGTGGGCTGCGCGTGTGTTATGTGTACGCGCTATTGTTGTACCTGCGGCGTTGTACCTGCGGCGGAACAGGAGAAGATCGGCCAGCAGCCGCGGCCAGGCACTCCCGGGGCCCCTGTCTCTCGAGGACAGCTTCAGCCAAGACATGCAGGCAAACGATACATGGCCGTGACGCCGCCATAGGACGACTGTCTTGTGTTTGTGTGACCCTTCAGCTAAGAGCGTTGTTGCCGCTCGAGAGGGTCGTGGTGCGCGAATGGACTGCCTTCGCGAGAAATTAATTTTATGAGGAAATAGTACAGAGAGGGAGTACGCAGACTCTACCCCTAACCCTGACTCAACTTCCCCGATGGCATGCTTTATCCAACATGCTTTTTCTTGACCCTGCGAACGCTACCGTCCGTACCGACTTCGCTTGCGAGGCCTTGCCTCAAAGCAACCACCGCAATCGGTGACGCCAATATATCTGCGCCGAATCTGTTTTCCTGCTTTTGGAACCCAAGGGAAGGCCATCTTGCACAACGACTGTAGTGGCAGACCAATCCCCATCTATTACAGTGTATGCACGCATGTTAGCCGAGCTTTTTTAGGGCAGGAGCACATCGAATCCAGGGATTCCGCAGCTGGAGGTGATGCTGGCGGTGTTTGTGGGTGTGCGGATGATGCTTCCCGCATGTTTTCTCCAATGTGGAAACAGTTGGTTCACCTATATCTTCTTATGTGCTTCGATACCTCCGCCGAAAACATACGCAGGACATCAACATGATGATGGAGGAGGAGGAGGAGCCCAAGCTGTCGAGAGCAGTCCAGGTGCACGAGTGTGTTGTGGGATGCTCCCTTTTTGCTTGTCTCGAATTATGGCTTGTGGCCATTGACCAACCACCACACCATCCCTTTCCAACCGAACCTTGTTCTGTTATGGGCATGTTTTGTTTTTCTTCTTGCCTTTAGTGGAGCCACGTCCAACCTCTGGGGGTTCTTGGCACCCTGCCGTGTTCTGTTGCATGTATTTTTCCCCTACTTAGCAGTCAGGTGTTGCCGCAACCCCCCCCCCCCTCCCCAGCACCTCCTCTGTCGAGGAGGAGGAGGAGGAGCGGGAAGAGGAATTTTCACAAGGACTCGGCGAATATGGAACCCTTGCCCCCCTCTGCAATCGTCGTCGGTTGTACATGTCAAGATTATTTGTTGGGCAACCACTGTGGCTCCTTCCGTTCAGAAATGCTGTGCGCGTGACGTAATGTGATGAAACAACAAAGGTTATTTTGTTGTCGGTGGGACATCGATGCCGGTAACGAAACGAGAATGGAACATCACGGGGGTCGTGCCAACAGCTCTCTGCAGACCACCGCATGCCGCGTACCCTGGCCAACCAACCACCTTTTCGCCCCCCACCATATCATGTCTCGATCTTTGTTAAAATGCCAACCTAAAGGCGTTGATGCTGGAGGGGCTCGACGTGGCACCGTACGAGGACGATGAGGACGACGATGCCTACGAGCAGCAGCAGCAGCAGCAGCAGCAACAACAACAGCAGCAACAGCATCAGCAGCAGCAACGACAACGACACCAGCACTAATTGCAAGGAACATCCAGCACCGACAGTGTCCATGTTAGTTTCTCTAGCGGCGGTAGCCTCGGGGACGGTCGGCAGCGCTGGTGGCGACCACTCGTGGAATCCAGATAAGAGGCGCTCGTTCTGTAACTGGCGAGGTTTACGAGTTGGCAACTACGCGTAACAAGGTTGACTGTGGTGATTGTAAATATTGTGCTGTTGGTGACACCTCATGTCCAACAAAAAAATCATGGTTCACAAAGGAAGATGACTGGGTTTTTGGGGGTCATCCATCCGTTTGGCGGAGAAAAATTGGCGCAAGTTGTTTTGTGAGGAACATCCACACGCCATCAGCTCGATCAGCCGCATGCAACTGCTGTGGACTTGATTGTAAGCACGGTCCTCGAAAGCTCTTGCCCTCTCGCCCACACAACACTGTCCCTATTGCAATCGGGAGCGTCCTTACATTTCCTGCTTGCGTGTTTATGGCTTTTCTGCACACCCGAAAATAACTAAAAGTGTGCGGAACACCGCCATCATCCTGTTTTTGTAGCGCGCGGCAAGAAAAGACTCTTTTGACACAACCATCGGTGACAGCAGTGGTTGAAAAGCCGCTGTGGGAGATGCCAGAGTTGGACACCAAGGTCCAGTTTGGTTCTTGTGGGGGCTCTCCATTCCCACTGTTAAATTCATGGCTGCAGCTGCCCCCGACTCTTTTCAAAATGTAGGGCCTCAGCGCCTCCTTTATCCGCCTTGCCTCAAGACCCGTTCATAGCAACAATGAGTAGGCCTTCATCAATTACTAGCCGAATTTCTTAGCTGTAGCCGCCATTTACGTACGCACCAAGTACGGCTGACACCCCCCCTCCATTCATATACTTGCTTCGACCCTAACGGAAAAAAAAATGCAGCAACCGAAGCAACATAAAAAAACAAGAGCTTTACAAATTCAACGCTACATTTAAACACGAGACCGTCGCGCATTCCTTTGCTTACCCCTTCTCACGTACGTGCACCGAAATAAATTTACAACAAAGTAGAGCCCCGGTTTTCCGATCGCCGGCAAAACTCGTACCACTAAAACAAAAGTACCCCACGGGCCTTAAAAGGCCGTTGTTCACGACAAACCACTCGCAGCGAACCCTCTCCGCTTGTTCGGTAGCAGGCTGCCTTAACGCTAAATATCTGAACTGAACATAATCAAAAACCGATCGTGCAACAAGTGGACGCAAAAACATGAAACGAAAGCAAACCCACGCATCCACCTGTAGAAACGGTGTGGTGAGTCTAACCCGCCTTTCATAGACCATGGGGCGGCCCAAGCGGAACTTCTGTTCGTGAGCGCCAGATGCTATCGGCCGCAAAGTAATGGCGCGGGCTCAAAAAAATTGGGTGCTGTTCTGAAATACACGCAAAAATACACGCTTTTCTTACCCCTCCGGCTACAGTACTATGTACCTCAAGTCATCACGCGGCCTTTCTCGGAAAAATACCAACAGAGAGAGCATGGCATACACCGTGACTGCCTCTTAAGAAGGTAGCGCCCACTATACAAACAGCGAGCAAAAAGCAAACACGAAGAAACCCTCCCCGACCGCAAACCCCTCTCTCTGGTAGTCCCACCAACACCTCCAACACGAGAACGCCAGCGGGATGGAGTGTACCGAAAACGAACGTCGTTTCGATGCCACAAAACATACACTACCAAGGAACGCCGACCCTCGAACCAAGGCGACTTTTCACAACGCCATCGGTGCCACGACTCAGGTAAACAGTGTGTCGACACCCATCCGGAAAAACTGAACACCAAACGATGATCCACGAAAACCATGCAGCTGTTGTTACCAGTTCCATTCGGCAATCAACACGCGCAAAACATAACAATATCTATAAATGGGCCCGCTTACAACACAACCTGCGGAGAATGACGCGATGACGTCACCGAGAAAAACGGCAGGAGAATTTTCATACTGTATTCACAAACCTCATACACCCTCCGATATACGCCAGGGGCAACAGAGTGAAACTACATCATCGATCAACGTCGTGATGCTCACTTCCTGTATGCGGCGTCCTCCCATCGCCACGATCTCCACATCCTTACGAAGAAATCCCAATACCTCCGACCGATCCTCGAAAAAAAAAGTCCTTTACTGCGGGGACAAAGCTGCACGAACGTAGGACACCACACCGTAGATGCCATCACAACTTGGATATTTCTATCACCATCCCTTTTTTTTTTTCACCGTGTTTCTTCCACCTTTTTAACCCAAGGCAATGGCAACCGCCGCCCATACCCCGTAGTACGCCGCGGCAGCGATGACCCCTACTATGGCTCCTGTTCGTTTCTCGTTCTTCTTATGCACTTCCTCGTCTTCAGGGGCCTCCCTCTGCCCTTGCTCGGCCGCTGGCTCCTTATCCACCCCGGGGGGGGGACGCGAGGTTTCCATCCACTCCTCGCTATCGCGGCGTTTCCTGGGACCGTTGTCGGTCCCTTGGGGCTCCGGTTCTTCCCCCGCGTCTCCTCTTGAGTCTCCTTTCCTTCGGTCGACACGGTCGGAGGATTTTCCCTGTCTCGCTGGTACGCCCGAAGGGGTTTCGAGACGAGTCCCGGGGGCGTCGTCCTTAGTGTGGCCTGCTGCCTGCTGGTGGCCAGCCTCGTCAAGCAAATGAAGATCTTTGTCCCTTTTCTCGTCCTCCCGGAATGCACGCCGCTGATGGGGTCCAAAAACCAGGGGCACAAAAGAAAACATGAGTTTTGCCCGACGAGAAAAAACAAAAAATAGACATTTTTACGAGACAAAGAACGAGAACTCGAGCATCAGAGTCATGCAGACTTCGAGCACAAGTGCGACACAAAAAGGATGAAGAAACAACAGCATTATCCAACCCGATCGGCCGTTTCTAGATTGGAGAAAAACATTGAGGAGACCGGTGCAAAAACACTGCAGAAAAAAAACAACGAGGCGTTTCGTGTTCCTCGTAAACATACCACGCATCCGTGCGATCGGTTCTTACCAGCAGGACCCGACATATTCCTTGGCCTGATAGCACGCCAATAGCAAAAGGTCTCATGCGGGGCTAGCTCTGAACATACCCCCCCCCCGTGTGCCTCCCTCTCCCACATCAACAGACCGCGATGCCTCTACCACGCTTTCACTGGTAACCGCTGCAACGTGACGACGGCGAAACATAAAATGAGCGAGCCGCCGCAAGAACGCAGAAAACTCTCCGCAATTTCTGCCCTCGAATGGCAGCCCCGTCAGGCACCACCCCCTGGACATGAGTCACCTGGAGCACTTCCATCAGCAATGCAAAGGGGTTCCGCGTGCTGCACACCGATACAAGGGGGAAGGGGGGGGGGGGGGGGNGGGGGGGGGGGGGGGGGGGGGGGGGGGGGGGGGGGGGGGGCAGATAGGTCCTTACCTTGGAGAGTTCAAGCCGCTTGACATATCGGTTCCTCTCTGCGACAGCGCGGTCACTCGCCTTCTTTCTGGCCTTCTCTTGGGTCTGAGTCAACACAGACGGAGAAGTCAACCGGAAACAGAGGCAGGAATGTCGAATAGCAACCGCCGCATCGAAGGCAGAACGGTATGAACGCAACATCAACAGCACGCGACGCAGAGCAACGAAACGCAAAACACGTTGAGTGAAGAACATTGGAGACCAAAAAAAGAGAACGGGGGCAAGCATGGACGGAAAACAAACAGCACGCCGCCTACAGGCGCTTCACAGAAAAAAAGAGTACCACGAGCACGTTGCACTTACGCCAACACCGTGCGTAGCGATCGCCTCTCCTGCGATAGCCCCCCCCCCCCCCCCCC